TATATATATATATATATATCCCCTTTATGCCAATGGCCCTTGCAGTGTGCGCTTCACCCATCAGAGGGCGCATCTTAACGCTTAGTTTAAAAATACTCCCTGAAACCCAAATTCTTTTAAGAGTGGAGCTGCTAAAGCAAACTACCCGACTTTTAACTTTACGTGTCTTAATCAGCACATAGGGGCAAGTTCAAACTCCTGGGCCAATACCGAGCCTGAAGCCTGGTCTCCTTTCAGATTTGAACAGCTACGATCGGCAGCTGGGATCTCTAAACATCTCTGTCCGAGAGGGAAACACGGAGAGGGAGACGTGAGAGCAAGGACGTGAGCGGAAGGGAGGCAAAAATCAGAGAAAACCTAAGCTGGACACACTGATAACGCTGTTTTTGGGCGTGCGTAAAGGCGCAAGGCGAAGTTGCATTTACAGGATACATGTAAACACAGATGTCCCCCTTTTTTGTTTCCCAGACTGGACATGTTTCCGCTGCTGGCGAGCGACGTTTAGACAGTTGTGAAAAGAGATTGAACCAAGGGTTGTAGAGAGTCTGGTCTGTTATCCCTTTCTTTTTATCTTTCGCTTTTGGGACTGAGTGGAAGTCCTTGTTTTTACGCTTAGAGTACTAAGGAAACGATAAATGCAAATGCGAAGGGTGACTCCGTGCTTTTATTCATCGTCTACAGAGACTTGAAAAGCCGCTTTCCCCACATTGCACAGCAGCCCGTGGTGTTTGGTTCACTGAAATGTGAAACACTAGTGAAGTCGATACATGACAAACTGCTGTATCCAGCTGGTTTGTTTGTCTCTGTTGTAAACATTTTACGCTCTTTGGATTATATGTGTTGAGTAGGAAACTTTTTAAGAATGAAGAGGAGAAAATTCACGTAGCTCGTCTCCGTTTTCTGCTTACATCGTCGCTGTTTGCCGAAGTGGATCCCTGTTATTATTTTAGTCATTTCCGAGCCTTCACGTTGAGGAGAAAGGGGAGCTGACATGCGCCTGGACATGGGGATATAGTGAGCTGACCTACTGCGAATAATACAAAGTTGCGAAATTGCCTGATTTGCGTACATAGTGAATAATCAAGACACCCGGAGCCGGTGGGAAATCAACCATAGTGCCTGCTCGTGCGCCGTGAAACAACGCTTTTCTGCTCGCACTGAGCCAGTTCGAGAACCAGGTTATTTTGCGAGGAGAGACTTCGGAGAAAGATATGGAGGAGTGGAGACAATGCGGACGGTGGTTGATAGACTGCAAGGTCCTGCCCCCGAACCACCGGGTTGTGTGGCCCTCGTCGGCCGTCTTCGACTTGGCACAGGCCCTGCGTGATGGGGTGTTGTTGTGCCAGATGTTGCACAATCTATCCCCAGGATCAGTGGACCTGAAGGAGATCAATTTCAGACCCCAGATGTCACAGGTGAGTCCGCCTCGGTATACATTTTAAACGACCAAGTGGTGGCTTTGATTTACACGCCCCCCGGGCAAACTTTTATATGCACTACGCTGCTACACATCCACACCCTGGGATTCCCTGGGTAGCCACTTCCCACTGAGATGTTCCACGATTTTCCTTGATTGTTTGGAAAGCTTTTTTTTTGTACATTTCTCTGCCTGTATTTCCCCAGCTGATCCAGAGATTCCTTCCTGTCACAACAAGCCCATTCCTTGGCGCAGTAAAAAAATTCTATCAGTGTATCTGTGATAATACAGCAGTTAAACACATACTGTGGTGGGCTCTGTGTGTTAAAACATGCAAGCTTCATTTAGTTTTTCCCAGGTGGAGAAAATAATGCAATTATGCCCACTAACACCTTATTCTGGAGGTGTCACACCTGGATCCATGTGGTGATATAGGCCTCAAGGTTGATGATGAGCTGTTCTGCTGGTGGCTCCAGGAGCACTTAAAAGCCAATTCCGTTCATTTCTTTTTTCCCCCCTAAAAAGGTTAAACATTTATCTACCCAGTATTTTATTTCTGCTCATGCAAGTATCAGCCCCCCCTCCCAATGAAATTGACATACAGTTGGCAGCTAGAGCATCTTCACATTCACTTCCAAGGGTGCTAATTGGGTGTTATCTAGACAGTCTAACTCTGTGCAGAAGTGAGCAAAGATAATAAGCTTCTTAGGGAAGAGAAAATCGAGGACACTAAATAAAGTAAAAGGAACGTTATGGAACGTTAGAGTGATGCTCTTCCATGGTTGATGATTTAGTATACACCATTTGTCTGGTGGTAGCAGTTTTAAAAGGATGCTGCACTATTTGCTTTTAAATTTTTACCTGTCTCAAGTTGAAGGGAAATGGCAAACTGGAAGAGACTCAAAGAGAAGTATCCCCGTGTGTATGTAATTAAACTCAAACGAAACCCAAGATTTCATGGCAATGAGATTAGAGGTTTGAACTGTAGCTATTGCACGCCTCTGCTTCTGTAAAGCTCCCTCTGCACTTCAGCTCATTCATGTTTCCAAAGCCAATAAGAGGAAGTGTCGGGTGCCACAGGAAGTTTACATGACCACGGTGGTGGAGTAGAAGTGCTCTGTGGCAAACATGTCTATTGACTTTTATTCACCCTGATGTCTGCACTGAAATACCACACAGCCTCTGCTGCACATGGTGAAGAAGTCTTGGCACTGGCACTGTGACATATTTAGATTATTCTTATTGTCATACCTGCGGGCTTTAATAGCTGTGTTAGGAAGCGATTCCTCACTGACAGCAAATTTGTCTGATATGCTTGGCACACCTTCTGTGACCTCTTTCTGTCATAATAATGTGTGAATGTGTGTGTGGGTCTACTGTCTGTCTGTCTGTCTGCTTTTTTTGCTCTGTCTGTGTTGGGTGCTGTTTTCTAGTAAACACTCCTTTCTTTGTCCTTGATTAATCAGGAAAAGATAATTTGGTTAGCCAGATCAACAAGGAATTCATTTGCAAGTGTGTATGTGTATGTGTGTATTTTTCAAACGGAGCAAAAATGCCACTTTTGTCTCTGTTTCACGCTTATCAAATGGAATCGTTTGCAACTGTTGAACTAAACAAGAATGTCATGTAAGATTCTGCGCGTTGTGGTGAACATTTTAAGCTATTTGTCTTCCATTTAAGACAATAAACACTTAACAGAAGAAAGAATTACATATTAATCAATGAAAGTAAATGCTAGTGGCATCGCTATCCATCCCCCTCTCTTTGCCTGGTAACCAACAGCGGCCTTAACTTATCACCTCCAGAAGCTACTGGGTTCAATGATTACAAGGGCGAGAGAGAGAGAGACTTGGATGGCATGCTTTGATCCGCCCACTAATCCCGAGCTCCCAGTACCACTGAGTGAATCTGCAGCGAGGGTGAAAGTGGTGTCCTCGGTGACAAATTGGGTTAAACAAAATCCTGGCAGCAGAACAGTAGTATGTGATTTATGATAAGGAAAAGGTCAAAGCTCACGTGCTTTAAAACCGAGAACACACAGTTAGTGGCTTAACCAAATGAAGAGGAGCTGAAGCAGAGCAATTATATTGTTTGCTCAGTACAAAATTTCTCTTGTATCCAGTGGATAAACTTTAGCGGTGATTGATAGGTTTGAAATTGAGTTTTGTCTGTGAATATAACTAGTTTCTAACATTTAGTTAAGACGTCCTCAACACATGGTAGTAGGTGTAGAGTCGATGCATCGTAAAGGTGGTTTATGGCGAAAGAAGAACATAAAGACACAAAGTATGTGTTTCTCCTTTTTCTATTGATCCATTACTTCTACTGCTAACAGAGCCTAATCACAATAATGCTTTTCAAGTTTGGCATTGATCCCGGTTTGTGGTCTTGGTGCTTTTGTGCATTCTGCAGACATCAAAGAGACTTCCTGGTAGAAACACGATGGTCATAATTTTTTCACAAAACACGGCATGTCGACAGTTAATGAATTTGCAATTGAAATTCCACTCAGTGTGCTTTTCTACCTTGTATGTTATGACTTGATGATGCTTTCATGGTCTTAAGATGAAAATTTTGAAGTTTCCTGAACGTGTGTTTCATTTGACCCACTTGTACAGTGCTCGGCAAAAGTCTTGAGCCACCCCTCATTTCTTACATATTTTGCTAGTAAAATGGGAAACAGGTGCAGTGATGTGTTGAAACATGTGAAGTATATAAGGCAAAAACAGAGACCTGTTGCCACTGATTTTCTTTATTATTATTCCAGTAAAGAAATTGGCTTACTTCAGCCTTTTTTTTCCCTGCTTCCCTTTTTAAAGATTAGTTTCTTGACACCCGTCCTTCCATTGAAAACGTTTCTGATGATGAACACTGGATCAATCGAAGGGGCAGATATATTTCTCAGGTCCTGTGTCTTTGATGGATTTTGTTTTCTTAAGGCGGTAACTTTCAGACTTTACTGCAGCAGATACTTGATCTTTTATCCTCTTCATCTTTTGCCTACGTTCCTCAATTTTTTTAAGGCCACATTGCACGCTAAGATGTGCCAGGTTTTCAGCGAATAGCTCTGGGGGAGTCACCTTATTGGTGCAAAAATGACATCAAACCTATTATCTTTGGTATTTTTCATAAATTCAACTAAAGAAGTGGGAACAAATGATGTGTTTTTGCAACATGTTGCTAATAGCAAAGACCAAAGACAAAATTTGAAATTGGTTTTTTTTTGCTAGCTTGTAGGCGCAACACTGTTTCACCCCTTGTGTTAGGTACCTCTTTATGTTTATTTTATTCATTCATTATTCAGTGACCGAGTGGCTTAACAAACAAAAACACATTCCTATGAAAATGGTTAGGTACAAGGGCTGGACTGAAAATGAATGAAAAAGCAGCCAATGTTCAAAGATAAACTTTAAAAGACCTTCAGAAATCCTGGAGCGCTTTTGCTCACGACAACTACAAAGTTAGAAGAAAGTCTGAGTCCTTGGAAGCAAAATATAAAGAAAGACGGGATGGCTCAAGAGTTTTTCACAGTAAGGCACATGGGATGCCAGCTCATGGCTGTGTGTCAGACAGTAGTCACTGGTTTCTAGATTGCGCTTCTGCAAATTCCATCTTTTGCTCTTGACAGAGCGGTGTATGTAAGCCCGGACCCTTTGAGCATGCTGAAATGGCAGCTTTCATCTTCAACTCACAGATCTACAAATTTTGTATAGTTCTTAATTATATATTCTGGTAATAGGCAACAGGATGAGCTTTACAACGTAAACATTATAAATAAATAAATAAAAAACTCTCAGTAATAAAATCACTTGCTATATTATTGTATATTTTTGTGCTCACAATAAGCTGCCAAAAACTGGACAAGCCCTCTTTTCTCCCAGCTGAAAGCTAGCTGTTTTCTTAAAACAAAAATGGTGCACTTGTGCTAACTTAATCGATAAAATACAGGACCAAATACACACTCGGAAACTAATTTGTCACTGTCCATTTTGATTCCTAGTGTATGTGGTTAAACATCATGGCACTAACCTCATTAATATTTCTGTTATCAGATTTGCAATTATAGAGTTACATACCAAAAGAGAGCATGACCAAGGGGGATTAAACATTGTTTGATTTTGTCTTTCTTCCCCTTTGTGGACAGGAGAGGAGGTGGAGTAGTTCTTAAAAGGAAACTGTGAAACTGACCTTCATTTATGTGGTCAAATGAATTCCTAATTGTGTTTTTCAGCATTTGTTTGCCTTTACCTCAAGGTTGTAAACGGGTGGCTAATGAGCGCTGGTGTCTGTAGATGCTTCAGAGCTCAAAGTGTACTTATTCAGAATCCAATGCCTCAGGCGGTGTCTGAAAGACGAGACTGGGCCTTTTGAGTGTTCTGCAGTTCTCTCTTCACTTCTTATTTTCTTTTGTTTTTTGTTAGTTGTGAATGCCTATGGGATGAGCAGGTGGATATGTGTGTGTGTGTGTGTATGTGTGTGTTTGCTGTGCTTTTGTTTCCTTGTGTGACCGTGCACTTGTTTATTATGTTTGTAAGTATGTTACAGTACCTGTGTTCAGACTCAATCAGTATTGAAGCTGGGGAGCCTGCAGAGCTGCACTGAAGTTTCTCAGTACTCTGCAGGGCTCCAGATCCCACACAGAGCCTGCTGCTTCCACTCAACATAATTGAGGTTCTTCCTCTTTGTCCAGCTCCCACCAGAAATATTGGCTGCTGATGGAAAGTAACCGGATCAGATCTGAATTCTTTTTTTTTTTTTTTTTTTTTTTTAATTCTGCCATTCCTGCAAACTTGGATTACCATGATATTGGTGTTATGCATCATTCATCTGGTTCTAAAAATCACACTATAGAAAACTGACTGAAATGTTTTTGCTGCTAGGATTAGAAATAACTATAAATAACAGACACAGCGATAACAGCTGATGTGGAAAACGTGTTAGTTGCCTAGCATTTATTTGTTTTTCTCGCCACTTGACAAATTGTATTTTCATTCACCT